CTGTGACCATCCCCCCATCCCCACTGTGACTATCCTCCCTATCCCTGCTGATTCCTCCTCCTTCCCCGCTGTGACCATCCTCCCTCTCTGTGATTGTCCTCCTCTACTATGACCATGCCCCCACTCCTGCTGTAACCATTTCTCCATCCCTCCTGTGACTGTCCTCCCCCTCTGATTGTCTTCCCCTACTGTGACCATCCCCCATCCCCGCTGTGACTGTCCTCCCCCTCCCCCACTGTGACCATCCTCCCTCTCCCCTGCTGTCTTCCTCCTCTCCTACTGTGACCATCTCCCCACCCTCACTGTGATAGTCCTCCCCCTCCCTTCTTGTCACCATCTCCCCTCACCGTTACTGTGACCATCCTCCACTCCTCTGTGACCATCCTCCCCCTCCCCCACTATGACCCTGGTCCTCTTTCCCTGCTGTCACCATCCTCACCTACTGTGACTGTTCTCCCCTCCCACTGTGATCATCCTCCTCCTCCCCACAGATGTGGCTGTCTTCCCTCTCCCCCGCTATGATCATCTTCCCCCTCCTTCCTGTGACTGTCTTCCCCTACTGTGACCATTTCTACCATGCCCACTGTGACTGTCCTCCCCCTCCCCGTTGTCACCATCCTCCTCTACTGTGACCATCTTTTCCACTCCCATTGTGATCATCACCCTGTCCCCCACTGTGAACGTCCTCCCCTAGTGTGACCATGCCCCCCCCCACTGTGATCATCATCCCTCTTGCTGTGACTAGCCTCCTGTTCCCATGACTGGCCGCCTCCCCCCAGCTGTGACCGTCCCCCTCTGTGGTGACTCTCCTGCTGTGACCATCTTTTCTGCATTGCCCTTTCTCTGCTGCGCTGACCATCCCGCCACCCCGGACCACTGGTCCTCCGCCTGGCCCGGCCCCAGCGTCCCCCTGGAATGGGAGGATGAGACTCTGGACCCCTAGTCCTGCAGACCTGGGCACATTAGCTCAGAGCTGTGTCCCTGAACCCCAGGGGCCCAGCCCCCCTGGCTCTTCCTTCTCAGAAGCGCATCGCGGGCCGGCAGAGGCCAGCCCCCCCGGGGACCAGTGCCTGTCCCTGCTCTGAGCCGACAGCCCATGGGGCCCCTTGAGCCCGTCAGCCCCGTCTGCAGGGGAGCTCATCCCCTGCTCCGCAGGGCTGGGTGGGGTCGGGAGAGGCCTCCCCATGACTTGCCCCCCAGCTGCTTCCTTACCCCCCCCGCCCCCCATGCCCTGTTAACCCCTTCTCTCTGCAGCGCTGTTGCTTGGACGGGAGTTGGGGCTCCAGCCCGCCCCGCCGCTGTCCCCTCAGCTTTGGGGTTTCTGCGTCTGCACGGCCGTGGGCCTCACGCCGTGTCCCCTGCCCGCCTCTCTGCTCTCTGCCTCTCGTGCTCTCCCCCCACCCGGCCGTCGTCTCCTCGCTTCCACCGGCAGCCCCTCCTCACCTCGCACTTGCTGCCCGAGCCCCGGAACGGCGGGGCTGCGGCCTTCGCTCCCCTAGAGCCCCCCGTGGGGACTTGAGGGAAGAAAGGAGACCGAGGGGCGTGCCGGCCTCCGGGTCTGTCAGTTTGGTCTGCGCGCTTGTCCGGGGCTCTGGCGGATGCGCTCAGGCCCGAGGGCAGGGTGGGCAGGCAGACGGGGCGAGGGCAGCAGCCCGCCCACCGCAGGAGCAGGACAGGGCACGGGGTCCGACCAAATGCGGGCGCCCAGCTCCTCGGCCTCCCGGGGTTCCTGCATCTCGGGCACACGCCGCGTGCCAGGCCTCCATCGGTGTTCGTTTCATCTTGGCCACAATCTGGCTTGGCGGGTGTCCCAGCTGATTGTCCCGTCCTCCCCACAGACAGGCAGAGTCAAGTCACTTGTCCACAGCCGCCCAGCAACACCACTGCTAGGGCCCGGGCCGGGGTTAGGAGCCAGCCCGGCACACGCTAGTGCTCTGGAGATCAGACGGGCCACTAGTCACTCGTCTAGATAAAAACGGAAGCCCCAGAGAGGGCAGGTGCCTGCCCAGAGCCAGGCCCGCAGGGAGGGCCCCCAGAGGCCAGTGTGGGGCACATATTTCTGAGGGCCCCCCCCAGGGGGTGGGGGTCTCTGAGGGGGTGAGCTGGTTGGCTCCCTGTCGGACTCTGAGTGTTCCCCGACCCCAGAAGTCTCCCCGCCCTGGGCTCTGGGGGCCTTTGCCTGCTGAGCCAGAATCTTCCCACCTCTTCTGCCCGAGACAGGCCAGGCTCAGCTCTCCCTCACCTAGCACCAACTGCTCTGAGCGGGAAGGTCGTCCTCTGGGAGGGATGCCGGGCCTCCCCCACTCTCCTGGCTCCTCCTGGGGCACGTGGAGAGGGCAAGGGGTGTACCTGGCTCCCTGCAGAGTCCCAGGTTGGGGAGTCAGGCCCTGCCCCTGTCCCCACAAAACACCCCGGGAACAGTGAGGTCTTCATCTCCCTCAATACGTTCAGACAGCCTTGCCTAGAGCTGGGTGTGAGGAGACACACACACAGGCATGCCTCCAAGGTCTCTGCTCCAGGAACGTGTGCTCTGTGCGCACAGACTAGCATGTTGTCACAGACTCCAGCCCACACCCTAGCACGTGCGTCTGCGCAGACCACACACCGTGCACACACACGGACCACCCATACAGACCACGCCGTGTGCCCACATTGCTGCACCCACACAGACCACGCACTGTGCACCCGCGCTGCTGCGCCCACACAGAGACAGTCCTGGCTCCCCACCCCCCGCCCGTCACTAACGGAGGCCCTGGTGCTGTGACCCAGCAGTACGGAGGAGGTGCTGTCCCTGGAGGAGAAAGACCTGAGGGACCGGGAGAGGCGGATGGCCAATAACGCGCGGGAGCGGGTGCGCGTGCGGGACATTAACGAGGCCTTCCGGGAGCTGGGGCGCATGTGCCAGCTGCACCTCAAGTCGGACAAGGCGCAGACCAAACTGCTGATCCTGCAGCAGGCCGTGCAGGTCATCCTGGGCCTGGAGCAGCAGGTGCGAGGTAGGCTCCGGGCCGGCCCCGCCCCCGCCCCGCCCCCGAGCAGACGCCCCGCCCC